CTGAGCCCATTCCCCGAGCGCGGCCACGGGCAGCAGGCCGCCGCGCGTGGGGCTCCGCGCGTGGGGCTCCGCGCTGCCCGGCTGGGCGAGCGCCCGGGCCCGTGCGCGGGGCGCTGCTGCGGGCCCTAAACCCCATGCGGAAACAGGAGCGCGTAGGGAGGTGGGAACACGTGTGCAAAAACTTCCTTAAACAGGTACACGGATAACTTCACATTAGCAACTCCCTTTTTTTATAGGAGTTTTAATTTGGCTTTTGCTTCACTTGGTGTCCAGGAAATTAACATTTGAGCGCCTTTGCTTTAATTTGCGTGGGATGTTTGATGTTAATAACAAGCCTGCTGCTCTTATTTAWCAGTTAGACTTGCGTTGGACTTGCTAGTGGCTTTAAAATGTTGCAAGAATCGTGTGTAAAGCCSATAGATTAGATATTTGCTCAAATCTTTGCAAGAAGTTTGAGGTAGGTGCTGCAAAGTGTTGATAAATCCACTGCTCTCGTTCTGATTTTCCACTGTCAGTGTATAAAGTTCTCCGGACTTGATTGCTTGAAAAGCAGAAGGGAGGAATGTCACAGGTGAACACAAATTCCTTCTAAAACACGGAAGAAAAGAGCAGCGGGGGGAGTGCGGCCGGCCGCCCCGGAGGCTCCCGCTCTGCGCCCGGCTCTTCCTCCAGTGAGCGCAGGGCCAAAAAAGGAGCTGTGTTTGCTCGGGAGCTGCAGCGGGGCCGCCGTGGGGCGCGGGAGCCGAGCGGGGCCCGGGGCYGCCCGCGTGGGCCTCTCCAGCCCTTTCCTGGGGTCTGCGTCCTCTTTCAGCTCCGAGGAGCCACGGCGGGCGCTGCCTRCACAGTCCCTTGGTCTCCTCTACATGTCTGTGGGAATCGCTTACTAGAGCTGCTTTCACAGCCTGCTTAGGGACAGGGCTCCTCTCCCCGCATACTAGCATGGGGAGATGCGGGCGCTGTGGAAGCTTCTRAATTCTCTGTTTTTCTTCCTTATTTTTTCCATTCTTGTGTTTGTTGTTTCCTGTCGTTGCTTYCCCCTAGGTGAATAGTAAGCAAGGCTCTTAGCTTTGTACTGAATAAAGCCCCWTCTTCCAGTGCTGGCACCTGCCGTTGAAGTGTTCTGGGTTTCAGCAGTTGCTCTGGACCTGCTAGGCACTCCAAAAAGCAGATCCGTCTCATTCCGGAATTGAAACGGAAGCTCCATTCGGAGCAGCGGGTGAAGCTAGAGGAGCGCGAGGGCTTTGGGCGGATGCACCCRCTTTACTTGGAAGTATCTGAAGTGCTTTGGTGAATTTTGTCAATTCCAGTAGTGTCCCGAAGTGGAGCTTTCATTTTTGAGAACAGATTTATGAACAGGTCATGAACAGATGGCATAGAAGTGTGTATGTGTTTGACCAAACTTTGCTTGAGCAATCTGTCAGTACTGTTTTACTGGAAGGAGAGTGAGTTTGTCCTGAGCTCCCGATTCAGTGGTTTGGAAATGTATTTACTAGCCAGACTTTCTTGCCATTCCTGCCAAATATACCCATATTAAGCACCAATGGTATAAAGCAATGGTGAACAAGCAATTTGTTGAAGCGTGCTTGGGTATTTAAATTACCTTGAGTTTCATCTTTGCTTCCATTTGGAAAGAGATCAACAAAAATATGGAAGTAGGAGCTGATCTTTGGCTAGGCTGTTGGGGTTCATGCGAAGTGCTGTTCTAGTCTAGTCTGTGTAAATCTTCAGCATGCCGGAATCTTAGGATTGTTTAGAGCTGCTTTTAAGATCACGTAGAGGCTGTTGCTGGTACTGGTTCCTAAATCTTTCTGGGCCTTGGCACTAAAAATACCAGCTAGTTTTGAAACTGAAGTYGCTTTCACTTTGCAAGTCAAATATTTCTACCAAGACGGAAACCCGTGTTTATTTGTCGTGTTCAAGATGCAAAGCGCTGGGGAAAACCAGCCCTTAATTGTTGAGAAGCAGCCTCAAGTTTCATTTCAGGCTACTCTGTTTTTGTGTACCTGCCTGCTGGCTTCCCGTTTCCCTGACAAATGAGCAAAATGTGTGAGAATGACCACAAACTGAAGCACCAAAAGTTCAATGGGAACTTAAGGAAAGATTTCTTGACAGTGAGGGTGCCAGAGCCCTGGGACAGGCTGCCCAGGGAGGCTGTGGAGTCTCCCTCTCTGGAGATCTTCCCAACCCACCTGGATGCCGCCCTGTGCCCCATGCTCTAGGTGACCCTGCGTGTGTGGGGGGTTGGACTAGATGATCTCTAGAGGTCCCTTCCAAGGACCAAATCCTTCTTAAGGATTCTGTGGTTCSGTGAACCCAGGGGCTGGCCTGGCAGGTTTGTTCACCCGGGGCTTTAGTTCCAGCCAGGGTAGGTAGCRGGGGCAATGTGGGCAGCAGTGTGTGTGGATGTGTATATGTTTTCACTGAGATGGGGACACATCCCCATCCTCCCTGTTTTTTTGGCGCAACTGCTTCTTTGCTGGATATCGAATGTTTTCAGTGTCACTTTTGTCCTATTTTCTGTTAAAATTGTACTTTAAAATAAAACACATTTCAGTGAGCCCTGGCTGAAATGACCGAGCTCCCCTTGGCCGCTGCTGGAGAGCAGCGCCAGGCTCCGTGGTGCCAGCGGTGCCCAGGGCTTCCAGCCGCTGCCGTCGCAGTCGCTGCAGGAGAGCCTCGGTTTGCCCTGCAGGGAGGATTTCAGCACGGGCTGTTTCTCACTGCTCAGGAGAAAGGTTAGACCGTGTTCACCCTGTTGTGCTACTGCTGCTATTATTTTGCTGCTATTGAGTGTCCTGTGGTCTGTAGGAGACCTTAGAATTTTTGTGCTGCCTCCACTTTTGTCCTGGCCGTGATGCTTTCCACTGATCGCTTGTTCTTTTTAGTCTTGTTCAGGTTTCCCTGCCAAGGGTGTGAAGCTCCTTATTAAGCTGTGAGTAGCAACATGCACCAGTACTTTGTGTCCTGCACCGTGGCCTTATATACATCCCCGGTGGAGTTCTCTGGATTTCAGTCTTTTTCCTTCCTCTTCGTAAGAGAGATGATGAGGGGAGATGAGCTCCCCTGTGCTTTCTGTAGGAGGAGATAAGTGAGCAGCTGTATTTTGCCTTGTTCGTGTCTTTGCATCATCTCTAAATGTCTTTCAYGTAGGCACAAGAGCTTTGGCGCACGCTGCGAGGAAGGGAATGGTGACGGCAGAGCCTGTGTGTGGAGGAAACAGAAACGTGTCGCAGCGGCTCCGACCGTGGCTGCCTGGGGACCTGCCTTACCCGGGAGGGCTCCGCGGCCCCCTCTACACCCTCAAAGTGCAATGGCACTTTGGCATTTCCCCCTTTCACTCTAATTTGATACTTTATCCCTTCTCTAAATCGGCCTCTTTAGATTAATCGGAACCGATAATTAAGCTGAGCAGAAGGTCCCAGGCAGCTCTCTGTGCTGGGACAGCGATGAGGGAGAGAGGTTGTCAGAGAGGCATCTGGAGCCGGCCACGGTGCCTCCTCTGCCTGCCCTCACACCAGTGAATAGTGATTTACTTTGTCTGGTAACCAGCTTGAACCAGGAAGTTCTCCCTTCCCAAACAATACAGGGCGGAGAGATACCTCAGCATGCAAATGGGAATGAATAGGTGGATTGGAAGCAGCTCTGCAGCTTCCTCTCCTGCACTGATGGTAAATACAAGCTGAACTGCAGTGTGGTGACTGCCGGTATTTCCTGTTTGCAGGACGTGAGGGACGCTGCCACGTGACGTGATGGAGGAGCAGCCACCAGGCATGCAGGGACCCACGGCTCCACCCTTCCAGCCACAGGTATTTTCTCTAGGCAGTTCCCCAAGAGTAGGTGCTGGCATTCCTTACATGGAAAAGACACGAGAACCCACATTATTTCTTGTGGGAAAAGAAGCTTTAAAGGGAGATAATATTTTTGTGACCTTGAAAATCGATTTATAGCAGCCCCATACTTGATGTAAAAACACTTTTTAAAAAAATGTGTTTATTCTTCCTGAGCTACGCACTTTAGAATTGCAACAGTGTTACCCTGTGTACTTTGGGTTACACATGGTGATTTTATGTGAATTAGAGGCATTCCTGGTGGGAGCTGGGCCAGAGGAATTCCCAATTGCTGTAGTCTTATTAGAAACAAGATGCATAAGCAATTCGATCYTTGGGTACACGTTGATGGTGTGAAACAGAGGCTGAAGATTATCTGGTGAGTGAGTGTGTTGGGTTGTTGCTTTGTCACGCTTTTTAGAAGATAATTCTTTGGAGGGAGTTTAAGATGCTTTGGAAGAATGCCAAAATTCTTCCATACCCTGCAATGCTTGCTGTGAAGACCATTCCAAACTACAAGCTGCAAAGTTCTTCACAAAATTGGCTGCAAAATTTGCAATTTTCTTGTTGATAGGGCAATTTGTGCCCTTCATTTCACCAACAAAAAAAGGGTGAAAGAAGTTGTGTAATGAGTGTTTGCAATGACCAGCTTTATGCAGTTCCAGTGTTTGTATTGGAGTCTTATTATCATAAGAATTTGGATTTAATAATAATTTACACCAAGGCAAAGCAATTACAAATGAGTCTAAGTCTATCTTTGTATCTTTCTAATAGTGCTTTGAGAAGTATATGAACATACGACATATAACGGGATTCTTAGGCATGTGTATGTATGCATGAATGTGAGTGGTGCTGAACTTAATCAGCAGCTTAGACCCTTCCTAAGCTTGGAGTTGAATCTGGACCATTGTGTTTAACAGCAGTGGACAATTCTACAGTACATGAATTTCTYGGTGTCTTTCTAAACCCATCTCTCCTTGTGGCTTCTGCAGTTTCAGATGGCAGCAAGTTCATTTGCTTCCAGGTTTAATTTACCACTGTGCCTTGCTTTGTATTTATTTATTTATGGCTTTGTTATGGATATTGAACAACATGGTTTCCTTTGGGGTTTCACTGGTATCTTTGAGGAAAAACCCTTATTCCTGCTGCTGTYCCTCGTCTTGCAGCTGACTGCTCACCTGGTCAGTGCTCTCCTTTAACCCGTGAGAGTTTAGGTCAGAGCTCAGGGATCCTTGCACGAGCACCTTGGTTGGCCAAGAGGTCAGGGAAAATGCACCTGGGATTTCTGGAGCAGAAAAGTCTGCTTGGGAAATTCCTCTCCCACTTGGCTCTGGTCTGCTTGGTGGCATCTGCAAATACCTGCAGTTCGGCTTGGGCTGTGTTTAAAACCAAATCTGTGAGCAATTTGGTAAAAGATGCGTGTTATTTTGTGAAGAAGGCTTTGTCACTCACGGCCTGGTAGGTCATCTTGGCAAATCAGGGCTTTGGGGTTTCTGTGGTGGTGTCCAGTGTATTTGTTGGAGACCAACCAGCCCTTTGCCTACCTCCTTTGAGCAGCACTGGAGCCTGCTGGTTTTTTACGGCACATTGGAGGATTTTAAAAACAGTCGTGTCCCAGTAAAGTGGGAATCATGTGTAGATCTGGCTGCTTTTGGGAAGAGGCTYTGAGAGCCCCTCTCCTGGGGGCTGGGATCTGTCTGGGAGCGTCGGCACCAACCGCGCTTGGCCCTTGATGCCTCAGCCTTTGCTGGGGCTGAAACCCACCCGCAAACGGGTGCTGTGCTGCCTGGGAAGGTTGCAGTCGTCTGGATATCGCACAAATGARCTCTTAAGCATTGGTTAGTTATTTAGTGTATTAGGTGGTTTGTCTTGTTGCTTTCTACCAGGAATTGTATGTGGGAATTTTATTGCTTACCCCACTCCTTGCTTAAGGTTGTATTGGAATATATGGCTGAAAAAAATGAAACAKAGAGAAGCCTCCTCAGAGCCAAAAGGGGAGCGATACTCTCCTATAGCTTTACGTACATTGCTTGCCCAGCAGCTCCAAAGCGTGGATGCAGAGGGGAAGCAGGTCTGTGAGGATGTAAGGCTGCAGGATCTCCCGCTCTCTCCTTGCAGGCTGGCTTCCCGCTCTCTCCCGGCCGGAAAGGGTGCTGTGCCGTGCTGCTGGATCCCTCGGAGGGTGTGAGGTGCTGCGCTCGTTAGCAGGCGCGCRCGAGGGCCGCACGGGCACGTGCAGCTCGGCCGCTTCCCACGGCCGCCCCGCTCCCCGGATCCCCGGCAGGACACGGGAGCCGATGAGACAGCCCGTCACTCAGCCGCGCTGCCCTTTGAGGAAGGGCCGTGGGGGGGAAAAGGTGCCGCAAATGGGCTGTGAAGTTTACATACACTGCCCACTGTTAAACAGATTACCTCTAATGAAGTGTCTAATGCTCAGGCCACATCAGCCTAATCCTCCGTGGCAGTTCATCCCTCAACTGCCAAAAAACACGGCCCTCTGGCCCTCTCTCGCCACTCCGGCCGCCAAGCGCAGGGAGGTGCCCGCTCTTAATAAAGGCAGACAGTGTGTGATCTGACATGCAAATGTAGGTCATTGCATATGTAAATGTGTGATTACAAACCTGCATGCCAAAACACATTAGCGAGGCCCTGCTCCCAGCATGCGGTTGTCACAGCGCCTTAGCGGTGCACGCGGATGCGTGTCGGCTCGGAGGCAACGGCTCCCGCTGCGGTGGGAAGCGCGCGGCGTTCCCGGCGCAGCCTCCATACGGAGCCCTCGTCCCGCACAGYGAGCGGCAGCGCCTCGGCCGCGGGCCCCTTTACGCCAGCATTGCCCCAAACGCCCTGGTAAGCCGGGCCCTTCCTTTTGGAGGGTGTCTGGCAGGAAAGTAGCGCCACTTCCATGGAAATTGATAGTCCAATAACCGAAAAATAAGCTGGTTTCTGGAGGGAATCAAGTGTGCGCTACGTGTGCTGCAGCACGCCCTCAAAATATTGTGTCATGCGGGATGGTCCTGGAAGGTTTCTGTTCTTTTTTATGAGGGGAGAAAGCTAGGACATAGGCTTTCCTTTGCCATCCCTTTTGGAATGGGATTTCACATCTTTTGCGTCTCAGGCTCCTCATATGTTGCAAAGCATTTTTTTTTCCCTTTTTTTTTTTTTTTTTTATTTAAAAGCATTTCAACATTTTATAATTATTTAAGTTTTTTTCTTGCTGCAGGAAGAGTGCAGTAGATGCTTTATTTAGATTCATCTTTCGGTTAGTCTGGGACAGTTTTGCTTTTAATACACTTGAATAAAATAATTTTAATAACTTACATTACATCTCCAAATACACATGGAAGTTGAATGTGACTCTTAATAGGCTGGGGGCTGTAGTTCAGGATCTGACTATACCCAACGTGTCTGGTCCTGTAAATGATGCAAACTTTGTTCTAATATCTTGTTCTCAGAAAGCTTTGCGCCCTGACATGGGCTACAACACGCTGGCCAACTTCCGAATAGAGAAGAAGATCGGCCGTGGGCAGTTCAGTGAAGTGTACAGAGCAACCTGCCTGCTGGATGGGGTGCCCGTAGCGCTGAAAAAGGTCCAGGTAAAGACTCTGAGTGTTTGTGTGAAGCACCGACTATGTAAAGGCTTAATAGTAGTATGCAAATATTTAAAAAAACGGTTTATTTCTGTTGGAAAGATAAATGTAATTTTGATGTAGTCTTAATGAATTTCTCAATCCTTGGCAGCTACCTATTAGGAAATGAGCTCGGAAAGTTCACGACRTAGCTTTTGTGTAACGTTGTTTTCCAAAAAACCAAATTTGCTCTATAAGAACCATTCAAAACAAAGCTTGGAATCTATAAATATTGACAAAAATACTTCATGATGTTTTTATGAAAACTTTCTTTGTCACACAAGTGAAAGCTGACTCAATCGAAGCCTATATTCATTAGTATTTCTGTTTTCTTTTTGCTTAGAAGCTGCTCAGAGACGATTGTTCATAGGACAATTATACTTTGAAAAAATCCACTGGAATTGCTTTGGAAATTCTTTGATTTGTTTACTTTCAAAACTGAAACTAAAATTTTAGTTTCAGTTCTGATCTCTTGAGAGGGCTTTTCTAATCTCCTGAGGTTACATTGCTTTGCTGAGTCCTGACGGGAAACTATTTTATTTTATTTTATTTTATTTTATTTTATTTTATTTTATTTTATTTTATTTTATTTTATTTTATTTTATTTTATTTTATTTTATTTTATTT